TAAAATAAACAACATCTTATAACTAGATATAACTCAATCTTTAGTATAAACATTTTTCACAAAGCAAAACTAGTTAATAAGGAGTCAAACTTTCATGTTTTTACTATACAAGGAGCTGGACTTTCAATTTTCCTAAGGAGTTTAATTTCTTGATCTTACTATCCAAGGTGTTCTTGGAAGTGAACTGCCGAGGTGGCTAACGGAGATGGTTAAGGGGACCATGATTTGTTGATGTGTCAAGAAACCTTTTAAAACATAACTTACATGAACTTAAATATGCTGAGTAAGCATTTTTTAAATGAAAATAACAATAGTACTAATAAAAGTTTGTGTCTAACAAAACAACGGATCTTTTTCATCATACCCATATGTAGTTTCTTTCCTAAATCTCTTCCTCATTTCTAATTTCCCAAGTTCTACGGTTAGAGAGTTTTGCCTTTGCAACCTTCTTCTCTTTTGTTTCTTCCTTTATTTTATTTCTTGCCAAATTTCTGTACTTACAATTAGGGATTATTGAAGAATCACAAACAATTTTAGAAGAATTATCAAAGGTGAGATTAATGGTGAAAATTTTCCAACATGCACACTCCACTAGCTTTATAATCTTATTCTAATGCAATCTATTCTTCTAAAACTATTTGTGGATCTATTAGTACAGCGCTTCAATTAGCTACTTCAAATTTTGTTATTAATTAGTATTTTTTTTTAGACAAAACCTCTAAATCCACCCTTCAAATAAGTTGCTCAGATTCTTACCAAATAAGGCCCAGCTGGAGTTTCAGATTGGGGAGCCGTTTAATTGGGCCTCCAACATTTTCACCGAAATTGGATCTTCAGATCTTAAGCACGTCATAATATTCATGGTGGTCATAGGTTTGGCCCTTTCGATTTCATGTCATGTCACAAAGTTTATCCAGTCCAAATATTTCAAAATAGCAAATGAGGCCTCATGGCTAGCAGACTCCTTATTAACCATATGCTACCGGGCCTGCAACAAGTAAGGAATAAATAATAATAATAATAATGATGATGATGAGGATGATAATGATAATAATAATAATAACACACCAACAACCATATGCTACAAGGCCTGCAATAAATCTCTTTTCCAATATACTATTTTAGTTATTTTTTATGAGAGTTTATCAACATGAAATAGTTTTGAATTGTTAAACTCTTAATTTGTTACAAAATAAGACGGATATAAAAAGTATTTTGATTAATTATTTAAATATAAATGATAATGAATAACTAATATTTAATAGTTGATAATTATTATTATTTATAATTTAAAGTATTGAATCAATTTCATTAAAACAAACAATTGATAGCTGTTTATAAAATATC